AACCAGACACGCCCCCCCAGAGGTCACCCCGGCATCCGGGCCCCTCTCCTGCCGTCGGGTGGCGTCCAGCCGCTCAGGCAGTGTCTGCCTCACATGACACTCGGGGAAGCCCAGAGCCCGGCCCCGACGGGAGGTCAGGCCAGGAGGGGAACCACCACATCTGAAAAGGCCTGCCCAGCCTCCGTTGGGAAATGTGGGGTTTGGGTTGTCTGTGTTTCTGCCACAAGCATGCCATTTCTGACTTTCAAAATTGTGAAAGCAGGCAGCTCATCAGATCCGAGAAGTCACGGGCCCTGTGGCAAACAGAGGGTTTCTGTTCGGAAGGGGAAAATGATATTAACCTATTAGCAGACACATTATTAAAGCTTGTTTATCGGAGTATTAAGTCAGCCCTGATGCCCAGGACCCCAGCCCGCTGAGCTCTGTGGGAGGCCAGGGTCCAAAGAGAAAGCCTTCCCCGGCCTCTGGGGCAAGGCCAGACCCTGCACCTGCAGCCGGAAGCTGGTGAGGCCAGAACAGCGCTCTGAGCTGCTCTGAGGCCCTCTCAGTAGGAAGTCCTGACCAGCACACACGGAGATGCTTGTTTTTAACCCAATCAGCTGCTAAATGTGATGGGCACCACTCCAGCCTTTCTTTGAGCCTCAGAAAACAGGGATATGGGCCCTGTGGAGATTTACAGGTTGGCATGAGCATGCCCAATGGGGAAGTGTTATTATAAAGAGAAAACACTTTTTAAGTGAGTCCTATTTAAAGAGCTGTAATTTTTGTCAATCTGCAGGAAAACCTTCAGCTAATAGGATTTTGAGCCCACAGATTGCATGAAATAGGACTAGCCTGTCTCTCCGACCAAGATCACAGGAACAGAGAACATATCTCCTCCCCCTGGTCCACCTGAAGCCAGGGTGGTCTACTGAGCATAGTCTTGAAAAGCCACGTGATGTCCTTGCCATCACCATCCCCAAGTTGCTAAAGACATCTGTAGGTCTCTAAGGAAAAACCCTAGCCTAGAAGGGGAAAAAAAAAAAATCAACTGGCTCCATAGGTGGAAAGAATGGGTTAATCCACCACCCGCCCCAGCCTTCCCAGATGGCGCCCTTGGGCTCGTCATGCACCACACGTAGACCTGGCCCAGATTTACAGCCCTCCCCAGCTGCCAGCCAGACAGCACGAAGCCAGTGCCAGGCCCTCGGCAGAAACGTCAGTGTTCTCTAATCAATCCGCTTCCCACAAACTTTCTGCTAAGGAAAAAACCCCAAACCCTTTGTTTACATAACACTAACCTGTTTAACTGTTTAGGTGTGCCGGCAACCTTGAAAGCTCTAGGCAAGCTTAGAAACTGGACCACAAATGAACACACGTGTGGGACAGGTTGCTGAATGAGGTTTTAAAAAACAAAACCAAACATCTTCTCAATTTGAGTCCAAATCGGTCTCGGATGGGCGTCCCCGACAGGGGTGTGTTTGCCCCCCCAGAGGACAAACCTGGCACGACTGTGGGGCACGGGGTGGTCCTGGCCGGTGGCCCGTGGCCCCGTCTTAGGGGCAGTCATGCTAGGAGGGTACGGATGAGTCAGGTAAAACTGGCAGATTTTAGAGAGGCTTGGATTTCAGAGACAGGGTCGTCGACGTCTGTCCCGAAGAGCTGATGTTACCCCAAACTGGTGCACTCCAAACTGTCTCCCAGGGCAAAGCCCGAGGGTCTGAGGCCGGCCGAGGGCTTGGTCTCCAGTGAGTCCAAGACCACCTCCCATGCAGCTGTAAAGAACAGCCCTGGTTCCCTACAATTTCTCTTTTCTGGGGGGAGGGGGAGGGGGAGGGGTGTCGCGAGAAGCACGGTCCACTCTCCAGACCGATGACTTCAGTTCACGTGAGTCCAGCTCCAGGCTGCTCCCGTCTGCTTCCCGTCTCCAGGACTCACGGGCGGACTGTTCCTGGTTCCTGGAGGCTCTGCTCTTCTCCCCATGCACCCTCTATCTTCCACCCAAGGCCCAATTACCAGTAAACCAGTTATTACGAAAATAGTCATCCTGACATTCACTACCCTAAGCCTGGATTCTCTCTGGCTCTTCCTGATGGAGAAACTGCACGAACCCCTGCATTTCCCTGAAAGACATGGGATCCATTCAGAGTCAGGACTCCTCGCTGCCCATCTGTGGGCGGGAAGGGGCAAGATGCCAAGCCCACCCCACCTTTCAGAGAGGGCGTGAAGAACACGGCCTCTAAAGTGGGCAGAACACAGCCCCTAAAGTGGGCAGGAGGGGGGCGCCTGGGTGGTTCAGTCGGTTTGGGTCATAATCCCAGGGTCCTGGGATCGAGCCCCGCATCAGGCTCCCTGCTCAGCGGGAAGCCTGCTTCTCCCTCTCCCTCTGCCTCTCTCCCTGCTCATGCTCTCTCTCTCTCTGTATCTCTGTGTCTCAAATGAATAAATAAAATCTTAAAAAAAAAAAAAGTGGCCAGGAGGAAAGCAGGCCATGGAGAGCAGGCCACCTCTCCCAGCGGACAATGGGATGGAGGCATCTGGTTTCCTAGGTCAGGATTCCTCTGAAGAAAATCCAAGATGCTCTTCTCCTAAGGAAGCCCCAATGTCCTTATGTGTGGGCAAAGCTGCTATGTTCCTGCTCAATTCCTTAACTGGAAATGTGTGCAGTCTGGTAACAGAGGTCCCACTAAATATCCTATCTAAAACTGCCAGAATACAGAGCCAATAAAACCAACAGAAACACAAGACTTAAGTCTGAAGGATTAACGTCGACAGTTCCTATGTCAGTTTCCACACTCAAAAATTCAGCATGCGCACAGGCCCACCCTGCTCTCACAGCAAGGACACTCACAGCAAGGACACATCCAGCCCTTGGTTCAATGCGGGGCTTCCAGACCTCGGCACTGTGGGCCCTGGGGGCCAGATCACGAATTCCTTGTTGTGCGAGCTGTTCTGGGCATCAGGCTGCTGAGCAGCATCCCTGCTCTCTGTGCGTGAGATGCCGGGAGCACCACTCCCACCCGATAACGGGACAGTCAAAAAATGCCTCCAGACACCCACGCCCCTGGGGGGTAGATCCCAGCCCTGTTACTGGTTTGATGGGGCATGGGAGCTTTCTCCCAGCCCTGCCGGTGACAGAAGACACGGAAAAAGCAAACTTTTTTTAAAGAAACACGCGTCAGTTTCTTTCACTATAAAATACCGGATATGACTTCCTTCCCTTCCCTCCCACACCCGCTGTCACCTCAAAGACCCAGGGGGGGCCGAGGACAGAAGCTCAGCCCACACACCATTGCAGCGCCCCCGACCAGGGTGACACCCGCTGCAGGGCACGTTGTAAGCCGGGGGGTCCAGATCGGCAGATCTGAAAACACGCCGTTAATTACAACAGAAGAACCTCATCTGAGGGTGCCCCAACCCCTAGAAGATTTTTAAAACCAGGTTCACAGAGGAACTGTGGTCAGGCCAGGGGGTGGTGGTCTCTCTCAGCCCTCAGGCAGAAGGCAACCCCTCCCCAAAATGGAATAAAATAAGATAAAATAAGATAAAAAGGCAGAGAGGTCTGTGTGCATGCAGTCTCCAGAAGTAGCAGGAACGCACACACATGTGGACACCTGTAGGACACTAGACGTCGAATGGAGGGGACAGGGGAGGGAGCCTGGGGAGCCTGGCACTCTGTCCGCGCTGGTGAGGGGGCAGCTGGTGGCCAGCGCCTCAGCCCAGGGCCGACGCTTAAGGGCGCAACGTGACCCCAAAGAGCTGCAAACAGAACAGGACCAAACAATAGTCTGGGAGAGCTTTGGTTGGGCCCATCCTGTAACATCACCCAAATCAGATAAATGCAAACCCCAAACTCACAGAACCACAGCTCAGAAAAGCACACCAAAGCCCACGGCAAAAAAAAAAAACAAAACCTTTTTCCAGCAAACAATACACAAACCATTATGTGGCCCAGTGAGCACAGACTTATGAACAGCCACTTCCCAGAAGGAGAAAAGGACCTGGACAGTCAGCTCCTGGAGGGCGGGGGGCGCGGGGGGTTTAGGTCGGTGCTGCACACAGGACAGGCACCCAGGAAGAATCAGAATACAAAATACTGGGCGCCTGGGTGGCTCAGTCGGTTAAGCGACTGCCTTCGGCTCAGGTCATGATCCTGGAGTCCTGGGATCAAGTCCCGCATCAGGCTCCCTGCTCAGTGGGGAGTCTGCTTCTCCCTCTGACCCTCCTCCCTCTTGTGCTCTCTGTCTCTCATTCTCTCTCTCTCTCAAATAAATAAATAAAATCTTTAAAAAAAAAAAAATACTAATGGTGGTTTTGCAGGAACCAAGCCATTTAAAAAACATATGCTCTTCTTTCTGTGTTTTCAGCTTTATGAGATTTCAAAATTTAAAAAGTAAATATAAATTATTTTTTCCTGATAGTTTTTGAAATAACTAGCACAGCCCAAACTACACTGGCGCTTTCCCTCCAAACTTGGCTTACTTCTCCATGATCAGGACCCCAGGAGCTAATGGGCCAGGGCTGTTGTCTTGTTTCAGGCGCTTGGTTTCAAAGTTAACACATAAACGGTTGTTAGGGAGGCGGTCTGGGTTCTACAGTAATGATGAAAAGCTCAAAGTGGCTGTTTTCTTCCACTTACCTTAACACTTATTCAAATTCACCCCCATATTAAATGAATATATCTCCTCTTTAGGGAAGAAGGGCTACAAATAAATACATTAATCCCACGAGACCATTTTGCGCCCCATGGGCTCTCCCCTTCCTGAGCCCTCCCTGCCACAGATGTCACAGGCCTGTACCTAGACCAGGGAGCGCCACCCCCGTCCCGCATCCCTGCGGGAACCCCCCCCCCCGCCCCCCGGCCGCCGGCCCCTGGGGCCCTGGCCTGGCCTGAGCCTGCGCATCTGGGTCAGCAGAGCCCATCTGGGTCAGCAGAGCCCATCTGGGTCAGCAGAGCCCGGGGAAGGCGCGAGGCACAGGTCCCTGAGTCAGAGAAAGTGCAAGGGAGACGCAACACTGACCTCATAGATAAAGTACACTTTGGCCCCCACGTATATTCCCATGCGCACCACGGCACGGACAGCGGCGTTCATACCTGTGGAAGGAACAGGGACAGGAATCAGTGACCAGGCTGGGACGACTCTGGCGCTAACATTGGACCCGCTGGGCCCAAGGGTGAACCGCGGGCCCGCACAGAAGGCTCCTCACGTGGAGGACGGGCCTGGCGCATCCCTCTGGGGTCGATGTCAGCCCGGTGCGTGTCATCATGAGAGAGCCCGGGGCACCTTAGAGTCGCGGGGGGCTGTAGGCAACACGGCCCGCTCACTAGACACCAGCGGGGAGGGGTGTTTATGTGCAGTTAGCCTTACTCAAATTTATATGGAAAAGGACAATTTCGGTGATTTGAGGAGGAGATGAAAGAAAAATACATGATTTCATTAGCAGCTACCAGGGGAAAACAATTTTTAGTCAATGGCCTTATATTCAAAATAAGTAATGCTGTTTTAGTAAAAGAAAAATTAAACCAATATACTATAAATACCTACTCAAGATAATCTAGGACATTTTCCACACTTTCCCAGGGGCTATTACTTAAAGGGGATTTAAAGTGGCATTTTTTTTTTTAAGATTTATTTATTTGACAGAGAGAGACACAGCGAGAGAGGGAACACAAGCAGGGGGAGTGGGAGAGGGGGAAGCAGGCTTCCCGCCGAGGAGGGAGCCCGATGTGGGACTCGATCCCAGGACCCTGAGACCATGACCTGAGCCCAAGGCAGAAGCTTAACCAACTGAGCCACCCAGGCACCCCTCAAAGCAGCTTCGTGCAACATGGTCTCGTGTGTCCACCACACTCATTTGCTCTCCCCGGGAGCTGCACTTGTGAGCAGCCCATCTGAGCGGTACGACCACTGTGGAGACCTAAGTGAACAGGCGTGGATTTCGCCCCTGCAGAATCCTGTGTCATCACCGTGGCTAAGAGTTAGGCCTATGAGGACAAGGGCCGGGCCGGGGCCTCGGGGAGGACACAGTCCCCAGCCTCCAGCGTAGAGCCCCTGGGCTCCCAGCCAAACTCCACGAGCACACCCACCCAACAGCTCCAGTCTGCCTTCTCCACGAGTTTACATTTCAGAAACCAACATCGGGACTGAAGATGCTGAGAACACCAGCCATGAAGTAAAGGCCACTCCTGGTAACGGCATATGGAAGGCGCCGTGGCTCCCAGGGGCGTTAACAGACACGGAGACTCCATTCGTGTGTACAGGAATGGTAAACCTGCTCGGAAGATGGGGTAGAAATGTTCACGCCGCACTGATCCTCCTCTGAGATGCGAGAATAAGGCCATTGGCTCTCGAAGGCGCCGAGTCTGAAAGGCTGCCATAGGCCCAAAGCTGGACGAGCTGTGGACCTTAGAAGTCAGTCCACGGCTCACGCACAGATAAAATCTACATGGACGTGGACATGTGTGTGTCCGGAGTCTCACTACTTCATGTTCAAACCTCGCTTATGACATGAAGAATTTGAATGACCTACTGATTAACAGGTGTTCGTCCCTCCAGACCCCGCAAACTCCATAGATCAAGACGCGATGGACTCCTGTTCCCCCCTCACGCCCCCACCTTCTGCCCGTGTTTGCTCTCTTGCTGCAGGTATGGCTCCCTGTGACTCACGCCCAGTATGCACGCCCTCCCCAGCCCCTGCCCCTAAAACTGACATTTCTCCTGACCTTTGCCCCGAATCCTGACATGTCCCTCTAACGTTATCCACACCATGGCCAGAAGGACTTGAAATGGCTTTTTCTCTTTGGTTAGCAATTACACAAGTAATTTATAAGTACATTCTTTTTGTTAAAAAAAAAATAGATTTTGGAAAAGGCACAACTATGGAGACAGCAAAAAGATCAGGGTCACCAGGAGCTTGGGGCGACAGGAGAGGTAGTGATGCTATTCTGATGCTACACGGGTGGTTGCGGTCATTCCACATCTGTCCAAACCCACAGGACACACACCACCAGCAGGGACTCTGGTGGAAACCATGGGCTTTGGGGGAGGATGGGGAGTCAGTGCAGGTTCATCGTCTATAACACACGTGCCACAAGGTGGGGACGTGGGGAGTGGGGAGAGCTGTGCACCTGTGTGGCGGGGGATACAGGCACTGTCTGCACCTTCCACTCAATTTTGCTATGAAACAAAACTGCGCCAAAAAATAAAATCCTTAAAAAAAAAATCAGGGGGGCCTGGCTGGCTCAGCCCCAGCAGCATGTGACTCTAGGTCTCCGGGTTGTGAGTTCAAGCCTCACTTTGGGTGCAGAGATTACTTAGAAATAAAATCTTTCTTTTTTTTTAAGATTTTATTTATTTTAGACAAAGAGAGTGGTCCAGAGGAGGGGCAGAGGGACAGAGAAAATCCCAAGCGGACTCCATACTGCACACAGAGCCCTACCCAGGGCTGAGATCCTGACCTGAGCCAAAACCAAGAGTCAGACCCTTAACTGACTGAGCCACCCGGGCGCCCCAGAAACAACATCTTAAAAAGCAAAAGCTGCCCTGCGTCTTTTCCCCTTGCCTGCCCCCTGGAGCCAGCCAAGGGACCCCCGTAGAAACGTGGTCCCACGCTGTGGCACTGTCCTGGCACCAGCCGGAGGTTGACCGTATCAGCCTCCGCAAGCACGAATTCGCCCACGTTCCTGCTGTGGGTCCTACGGGGCTTGCACGCCAATCTGCAGGGAGAGATTTTCCACCTCGGGACTCCTACCTGCTTGGCCCCGCCCCCCGGATGCTCATCCTTGAACCTCAGGGCCCTCTACACAGCACAACCCACAGCTCCCCCAGGACTGCCGGATGCGACCTCGAGACGGGGCTCCTGACCTCCAGAAAGCCCACCCACTCCCCTTCTTGATGGGAGAGCGCCCCACGCCCGCGCGCGCTGTGGGGCAAGGCCACACGTGTGGGGCGTTAGCGCCTCCGCAGCTGGTCCAGGGCGCACGCAGCCTCGCCCGCAGACCTTACGGGGATGGAGAGGCCCAGCTCCTCGCGGGCCCTTCGGACAGACTCCAGGATTCTAGGACTCGCTCGGCGGCCACTGTCCCAGGGAAGTTAACCCCAAACGCTTCAACCACACCAGCACGATCACCAGGTGACCAGCATGATTAATACCCGACGTCAGGCCTTCGCCCTCCTGAGCACCCCTTTATGAGGACACAGCTCCAGGGGGTCGCTCCTAAAGGCACGATAAATTGGGGGGTTCTAACCAATGTAAGCAATGGCAGGAGGAAACTGTGACAAGTACACGTGATCCGGAGGGGACGCCCAGGAGACCTGTCATGGGTGGCCCGCACACCTTCACACCAGCCCCAGCACCTGACTCGCACCCCAGCCTCTTGGGGTGAACCTGTGCTCACCTGAGAAGGAGCTGGTCACCTGCGGCAATGGGGGTCCCCTCAGCGCTGCCAGAGCCTCCGGGGAGGGGGTGGAACCTTCCGGAGGGCAGGGACGGAGGAGCCGGACTCGGCATCTTCCACAAGATGCCTAAGAACCACCTAAGAACCACCTTCCAGCCTCCCCGGGCTTTTACTGAAAGTGAGTGCAGTTGAGTTAAACCTGCTGACCTCTTCCCACAGCTGGGGCCAGCCCCGGGCGTGGGGCGTGGGGCGGGCCTGTGCCTCCAGCTCAGGGCGGATGGATGCTCACAGCAAGCCCGTGGGGTCCGGAGTCCCCCAGGGGTGATGAGGAAGTCAGGCTCTGAGCAGACAAACGGAAAGCCAAGGGAACAGAAATGATAAAGGGCACACCTGCAGTATAAACCTTAGTCTCCGTTATATTTTAACTTAAAAGACGAGCGAATTCCCTCTGGTACAATGGCTGTGCATTAGAATCTCCTAAGGGAAACCTGAGGAATAAAAAGGGCTGCTGGTCCCCAGTTCTGGGTTTCACTGTTTGGGGCGGGGCCTGCTGGGTCTGCCAGGGCTCCCTGCCAGTGGGGTGTAGGGTTGGGCCCTGCGGGTGGACATCTTCCAAGGAGGGGCCCCTGGAGGACAAAAACCAAGCACAGCAGAGAACACCCCGATGTTCCCCCATGGCCTCTGTCACACACAGTTTGGACGATGGGCTTCATTCCTCGTGCTTTTGCTTTTGTGTTGGTAGCCAGATCTGGGAATTCAAACAACTCTCCTCATTACTACCATGGGAAAATGTAATCCTGCTACCAGGTCAGAATCGTAATATTTGGAAAGTAACCTCCTTGTCATTTGTAAAAATTTAGACCCTGGCCCGCAGGGAATGGAGAGGTTGGTTATGGAAACCAAAAATGAAATGAACAGACCTTGAAAAAATTAGGAGCAGCTGAGTGGGAACTGTGTGATCAGTACTTGAGATGAGACAGACAAAACAGGCCATTAAACTGCTGTCTTGATTTTACATATCCACTGCTTCTTACTAAAATATCCTGCAGGGAAGCAGGGCCGTTAAGATCATTCCTTCCTGAATTAAAATAAACACTTAAAAAAAAAAAAAGAGTTGTTCAATCAGTCACTATATTGTATATCTGACACTAATAGGACACTGCATGTGAACTATACCGGAATGAAAACAAAAACTTAAAACATTATAATAAAAAAATTAATAATTTAAAATAAGAAGAAAGATCATTCCTTCCTTGAGGTCATGGAGTGCAGCGGACCTGTTTCCAAATGCCTCCGGAGATCTGCTCTGATAACATTTAAACTTGGGATATTCTGCAAGAAGCAAAGGATATGTTGATTCTAATAAAATAATGGGGGTTCATTCTTGTTGTTTCCCACGTGATCTGAAGAGTACAATCAGTCTCCTTATTTAACCCTTTAGACCAGACTGTCTGGAGCTATTTCCCCCGGCTCATCACCTTCCCCTTGAGATGGCCACCCCAGGTGCTGGAACCCCACTGTCCCTGGGACGGCGGCACCTGGCCGAGTCAGAGCGGACTGCATGGCTCAGCATGGAAAAAAAAGAATGTGGGATATCTTATTGACGATCTTTATACTGATGAGGGATTGACTACTAGGTTGGATAAAATATACATTTACAATTAATTGTTTTCGTGTGGTGACAGGGTAAAGTCACA